CAAAGGCGAAGACCAAGGTGTTACGTGCTAGGAAGGCTAGCCATGAATCACAGTTTGCTCGAATATGGGATTATCAAGCTGAGGTTTTACAGCAGAATCCGGACTCAGAGTTTGAGATCGAGACGATACCAGGGCCAGTCATTGGAAGCAAACAGAGGTTTTATCGTCTCTATATTTGTTTCAATTCACAGAAAGAGAGTTGGAAAAAAACGTGTAGGCCCATCATAGGATTAGATGGAGCTTTTCTGAAATAGGATATAAAAGGTCATCTTCTAGCTGCAGTTGGAAGAGATGGGGATAATAGGATAGTTCCTATTGCTTGGGCTGTTGTAGAAATAGAGAATGATGATAACTGGGAATGGTTTGTGAAGAATATTTCTAGAAGTTTGGGACTTGATACAATGACAGATATAGCTATCATTTCAGATAAACAACAGGTTTGTGTAATTTCATACTTTTGATTTTCTGTATGTTGGTAGTCTCTTTGATGAATATGACATTATGATTGTTTTGCAGGGCCTAGTGAAAGCTATACATGGTGTACTTCCACATGCTGAACATCGACAGTGTGCTAAACATATTATGGAAAACTGGAAAAGGGACAGCCATGATCAAGAACTTCAACGCTTGTTTTGGAGGATAGCTAGGAGTTATACAACTGGACAGTTCAATGATCGAATGGAAGCACTCAAAAAGTACAACCCGCAAGCTTTTATATCTCTTCAAGATACTAATCCTACAACATGGTCCAGAGCTTTCTTTAGGATTGGTACTTGCTGCAATGACAACCTCAACAACCTCAGTGAGTCTTTTAATAGGACTATTCGACAAGCAAGGAGAAAGCCTTTGTTAGATTTGCTAGAGGATATTAGAAGGCAATGCATGGTGAGAAATGCAAAGAGGTATATCATTGCTGAAAGGTTGAAGACACGGTTCACAAAGAGAGCTCACGCTGAAATTGAAAAGATGATCGCTGGGACACAAAACTGCACAAGATACATGGCCAGAAACAATTTGCATGAGGTAGACGAGAATGATGTTACTTACCGAGTTGATATGAATAACAATACTTGTGGTTGCAGAAAGTGGCAAATGGTTGGAATCCCATGTATTCATGCTGCAAGTGTGATCATTGGAAGAAAGGAGAAAGTTGAGAACTATGTCAGTGAGTATTACACAAAGAAAAGGTGGAAAGAGACCTATAAAGATGGTATTAAGCCTGTCCAAGGGATGTCTTTGTGGCCTAGATTGAATAGGTTGCCTGTCCTGCCACCACCATGGAGAAGAGGTAATCCGGGAAGACCATCTAACTATGCTAGGAGAAAAGGAAGAAATGAATCTTCATCTTCTTCAAATAACAAGATGTCAAGGGCTAAGAGGGTGATGACTTGTTCTAACTGCAAAGAGGAAGGACACAATAAGCAAGCTTGCAAAAATCCACCTGCTGCGACTCAACCAAAGAGACCAAGAGGTCGACCACGAAAATATCAAGAACCACAAGCTTCACAACCTCCTCACGGATCACAAGGGTTAGGTGCTTCACAACCTCCTCACGGATCACAAGGGTTAGGTGCTTCACAACCTCCTCACGGATCACAAGGGTTAGGTGCTTCACAAGGGCAAGGTTCACAACCTCCTCAAGCACATGGATCACAACCTCCTCAAGCACATGGATCACAAAGGCAAGCACATGGATCACAAAGGCAAGCACATGGATCACAAAGGCTAGCTCACGGATCACAAAGGCAAGCTCACGGATCTCAACCCCAAGG